CAATTTTCTCGCCTTCTAAAGGTCCAATGGTTATTCCGACTGAGACAAGACTTGCGATACCGTAATTGATGTCGTTGATGAATTGGTCTAAGGTCGAAAAACGGATGTCAAGGAATTCTCGATATACCTTCACTTTATTTCGCAGGGACTTGGATTGATAATGTTCGCAGAGTAGCTCCCATATCTGATGTGGCTGAGATCGATTTTCTTCAGTGATGAACCTCGCAACGTTCTCAGCGCCCATATATTTCACGAGAATTTCAGCGGTCAAATTTTTCTTTTCTAATAGACTAGCTCTTAATTCGATGTCTGATTCTGCGGCAACGAGGTCGGAGAGAAGATGATCACGAAGGTTCTCGATCATGCAATGGGCAACAATCCGGTATTGCCAGTTTAGGAATTTGGTATCAGAGAGTATCGGTAAGAGATGTTCATGTTCGGACATCCTCAAAAATGTTCTGGCAGTGGTTTTGTCGAGTCAAGTTGATCACTAGGCGCATGTCCTGGTGAACAACACTGATCCTACAAATAAATTTTTTGGTCAGGATCTCGAAGCTTCAACCTTATGAGAAAAAAAAAACATACTGTTTTTCGCGGACCAGGTTCTGGTTGAGATCACCAAGAGGATGATGACCGCGAAGTGAAAAGTGGATGAATTGATCAAGGTTAGGGCCGTGTGGACACCCGACTCCCCGAGTGGAACTAAACACGCTAAAGCGTTCGGGGCCTGACATAGCCCCTAACGTAAACGGGCGCGTCCGGGGGGGGCAGGCTGAAACTGGATGTGCACGCTTTTTGGAATTGCCAAGAGCATTCATCATCATCTATTCACCCGACCACAGTGTGTTGAGCTTAAATCAAACTATTTATGTCACAAGTGCTTGCGGTTTCTCTATCTTTTTGTTTGCTTGTATTTTTTTTGCGTCCAATTTCATTCTTGAATCCTGCGCCGCCAGGCTAAAGTGCAACAGGCGACCTAGCAATCCTTAGGAAGTGCAACGTCGCACTCGACGTGCCAGCTGCTCTCAGAAGCTATGTGAGGAAAAATCCTTCAGTCTTACTATGACGGGTGTAGAGTTGTATGCTGAATGTTAGTCAGAACACTCATAGTCAGATTTTGTCTCTAGGTGTTTCTACAAAGCGGCTCCGAAA